ATATAGTACAATGTAGACTTTTTAAATTCTAGTTAATAAAGTGCCATTTTGGGGGGCTATTTTAATGTGTTTTGGTGATTTGAAATAACCTTGCAGTTAACACATGTTCAACCCTAATTAATTACAAACAAGTTCAGAACATTTAAAATATTTTGACCCCATCCCCAACCCCTCTGGTTACATCACTGGGATTGACTTGAGCCTTTTAGACCTCTGAATTTTAGTTGCAACTTAGAACAGTGTTCTGACATACAAGAAAATTGTAAGAAAATTTAAAATTTGTGCAAAAGCATTTCTCAAATAGGTCGTTCCAGAAAATATCCACACTCCCCCCACAGAGGAAATTTCTGCCGTTCAGAGGGGGAGGGGGGAAAATTGTTTCTGATAATAGTAAATGTATTAGGACATCCAAAGGGGTAGAAGGGATTAACTTTCAATTTCCTCTGTGGGAGTGGTATGGGTGTTTTCTGGAATGACCCAATATAACTGTGTTTTTTTTTCAAATCTAATCAAACTGTCAAATTGTCAATCCTTGTACATGGGGAGGGGAAATTTTGGAGAAAGAAAAATTGTGACCAATCAGGTTGGGGGTCCACCTGTAGGCCTGGTCATAGGCATACAGGGCTGGGCTCAATTGTTGGGCAGACTAGGCCAGTCGGGCAATATTTACTTCACAGTTGGGCAATATTGGCTTATTATAAAAATAAATATGAGAAATTATTCCCTCAATATTGGGGGAAATATGCTATATAATGGTCGAAAATTTAGTTCATTTTGATTAATAGTCATTTAATATATGTGCTATCAACAGTTTCTTTATGGTATTAAGTAACAGATTACAATGTTTGTACATTAGAGATTTAGAGGCACTAATAACTCAATAATAAATAGGCACTAATACAAACTCTGAGCCAGTGCACCCAGCATCCTCAAATTGGGAATAATTTGTAAATTTAAATATTTGTGTATAATTCATAATTTATCCTATTCCAATACAAAATGCAATAATATAGAACACACAATTTATCAAATAAAGGTAAAAAGGTATTAAAAACTTTATTATGTAATATTTACATTGAATATCGTGGTTGAAGTTGTAGATTTAATATACTTGAAATTTCAATTTTCGAACGAGAAATGTTTCGCTTTATTATGTTAATTAAATTTTTTACTTTGTTCGCCATTCTTGCTTATTTACAAATACAAATAGTCCATTTCTTTTGCTCTTTTCAAAATAGCCCAGAATTTGGTTCAAAAAAGTATTTTCATGCAAAAACCAGCATTTAACTTTTGTATACACTCCTTGTGATAGCAGACATGTTGCCAAAATATCACCCGGTTAATGAATAACTTCCGGTACTTTCATTGTATTCGCATTGACCAATCAAATCACGTTCTGAGTTGGATTATCCCAGGGCTTCTGAGAGCAATAAGCGCAGAAGCCCTGGGTACGAGGTTGAGACGTCCTCTAAACGGCATCTGAACTTCACCAGCTCTCCTTTGCGATAGAAGGCTATTAGTAAAACACGGAGCACGGAGCACACGGAGTACGGAGCAGGGAGTACGGAGCACACGGAGCACACGGAGCACGGAGCACACGAACTACGGAGCAGTAGAAAAACGAAAATCCTTTATAATAAAATACACTGTTTACTACAAATTTTTATTACAAATTTTTGTTCTTATTAATAAAGTTTTTTCGCGTTTTACACGTTGAGGAAGTAGAAAAATGGGGCTTTTACTGCACATATGATGCAAAACTGCCAAAAGCCATAGTATTTAAAATAGGATTGTGCCTGTGAAACTCGTCACATATCTATCAAGCTTATGAGTTATGTAGTTATATCAGTATATTCCGATGGCCAACGCATTAAGAAACACTTAGAGAACAGCCGATATATTTCGTTACCCCTGCCAAAAAATAGCCAAGTACTCATCTTTCAATGTAGCGGATCGACTGAACATTATAAAAGCTTGTCATGGAGAGAAGTGAATTTTCGGTTTATCCTTCGTCCCAGTGACCAGTGAGCAGTGTGCTGTACGGCCTACGTTTAAACCGTTATACATAATTACTGCTTTCATTCTTTCAATCCGTTTTGAATATTCGGAATCATTCACTATTATATTATAAAACTGTATAAGATAGCTGTAGAACTATAAATGCTGTAGAATAAAATAAATAAAGAAAACTACGTTTTATCGCGGTATTGCCGATAAATCGGTAACCGCTACAGAAAAACAGAACAAATTACAGTAAATCACAACAAACCGCGGAAGTGGGACAATTTTTGTATTTTTACTGTAAGACATGCAGAACATGTACGAAATCCATACAGAAGTGTGTGTGTATTCTATACTTTTGAAACAACTAAATCAGACTTCGGAAAATTTGACAGTATTAAAGCTACTTTTGAGAATTTAGATTTTAGGTCTTTGTTTTACATGTACCCAGTAAATATTTTTGAGTTTTGAACTCTGATTCTCACAAGCTTACAATTTGTTTACAATTTACTCTGGCTCTGCCGTGCTGCACGGCAGAGTTGATCGGAATTGTAACAAATACGCGTACACTTAAATGGCTTCCTGAATTTAGTCAATCAGATGTGTAAAAATTACTCGTTTCAATTTTATGTTTATGCTCGAAACTGCTCATGTTTACAATAGCAATTCTAACAATCTTGCCCTCCTTTTCGCCTTTGAGGCGTTGGTGTTGATTTATACACAAAATTCAAAACTCAAAAATATTTACTGGTCTGGGTACATGTAAAACGAAGACCTAAAATCTAAATTCCCAAAAGCAGCTTTAATACGGTCAAATTTTCCGAAGTCTGATTTAGTTGTTTCAAAAGTATAGAATACACACACACTTCTGTATGGATTTCGTACATGTTCTACATGTCTTACAGTAAAAATACAAAAATTGTCCCACTTCCGCTGTTTGTTGTGATTTTAATACTGTAATTTGTTCTGTTTTTCTGTAGCGATTACCGATTTATCGGCAAATACCGCGATTTGAAAACTTACTTTTCTTTATTTATTTCATTCTACAGCATTTATAGTTCTACAGCTATCTTATACAGTTCTATAATATTGTGAATGATTCCGAATATTCAAAACGAATTGAAAGAATGAAAGCAGTAATGATGTACTGTTTAACGGTTTAAACTTAGCCGGCCGTACAGCTCACTGCCACCGGTCACTGAGCCGAAGGATAAACCGAAAATTCACTTTTCTCATCACAACATTTAATGTTCAGTCGATCCGCTACATTGAAAGATGAGTATACTTGGCTATTTTTTGGCAGGGGTAACGAAATATATCGGCTGTTCTCTACAGTAAGTGTTTCTTTATGTGTTGCCCATCGGAATATAATATAACTACATAAGCTTGATAGATGTAAGATAACGAGTTTCACAATCCCATTTTAAATACTATGGCTTTTGGCAGCCTGGTTTTGCATCATATGTGTTTTTCAGTAAAAGCCCCATTTTCCTACTTCCCCAACGTGTAATACGCGAAAAAACTTTGTTAATAATAACAAAAAATTGTAATAGTAAACAGTGTATTTTATTATAAAGGATTTTCGTTTTTCTACTGCTCCGTACTTCGTGTGCTCCGTGCTCCGTGTGCTCCGTACTCCGTGTGCTCCGTGCTCCGTGTGCTCCGTACTCCGTGTGCTCCGTGCTCCGTGTGCTCCGTGCTCCGTGCTCCGTGCTCCGTGTTTTACTAATAGCCGCGATAGAACGCCAAGTCGCAAGTGTCTCCATCATAAATTGATACAACCTTCGCTTTTTTTTCTAGTCCTTCCAGAGTAAAACGGTCAACATTTTTGTTTGTTACTTTCGTTAAGCTTGGTCGAACTCATTTTTCAAGAATTAACTTTATTGAGTGTTTGCGTACATGGAAATGCTCTATATTTTGTAAACTAGATATAGCATACTTTAAATGGGAAACACCTGTCGAAGAGGCAGCTGTATCAGAGTTTAGTTGCTATATCAGTGATATATGTTTCGTATTAATAATAGCGAAACTAAATTTCATGTACATGTGTACATTATGGCGTCTTGGCTATATGCGCTTTTTCGCTTGAGATGGCCGAAGACGAAGCGTATGAAACGATCGGGATATAAAAATTGAATTCATCTTATATATGTGACAGAAATTATATCGACTTGGACTACAAAGCTGCATGTATACAGATCCGTATGAAACATTTCAAAATTTTATTGCTCATATACATGCACGAAGTACTATTCTGAACATAATTCGTTTTACATGGATTAGTATATGCACGAAACTGAACATGAGATATACTTGAGATATTTTAACACTGAGTTTCGTATATTTTGATACATATTTAAAGCTCCGCCGTATACCGATTGTACAAATAGCCCTATATGGCTATATAGCTATACAGTACAAGGCAAATGCTAATAAAAGAGTTACACATATAGCAATTGTTCGAGTATAGTCGTATGGCTATATATACAGCACATGTCAAGTACAAAATAGTCAGTCGTCGCTTGCATTTTCTGAATCTGAAGAATCTTGATTATTGCGGTTTTAGGGTAGCGTATTTATATATTGCGCCATCATAGTATTGATTGATGTTGGAATTGGAGGGACGTTGTCTTCAGAACTTTCAGAGGCGACCATATCACAAGATGTGCTGTCGTCTTCTTCTTCTTTCGAGATTTGATAAAGTGTTACTAACTGCCGACCATACTTCCCTGGTCCCCCAAATTCAGCATAGACTAAGCTATTCTTGTTGTCGTCTAACTTTTGTTGCACACGCTTTTCAGTCCGTAAGTTCTCGACGGCATTATGTGTGTGAGCATCCCCTCCCGTGCATAGATGAGTCAAATAACCTCGGGCTAGTTCACCGCTCGGTTTCTCTTCTAATTCTGGTGCATCGTAACCCAACATACGACATTTGTATCGCACGGGTTTATCCTGATTCATATTCTGCGTGTTTATATAAAACACCAGATCACATGTATCCCCGTCGTAAACTGAAACTACTTTAGCGTATCTTTTCACTGTTTTGAGGGTAAAACGTGGGACACTGTTGTCTTTCTTTTTTAGATTAGCATGGTAATATGCTGGATTCATTTTATAAAGTTGTTCACACCGGTCTGTTATACCTTTTGTAATGTCGAAGCGTAGCGCCACAAAATAAATAATAAGACCAGAAGTCTCACTCGATGTCGGAATCTTTGATGTTGATGTCCCCGCGCATGTCGCCTCGCGCATCTTGGCCGTGTCTCGTTTCCAGTGCCCTAAACAAGTGTAATTTGACAAATTTACATGTAAACATTAAGGAGTGAGAAAGTTAAAACGATACCAATCGAGTTTTAGAGCTTTGGTGACCATTTTAAAAGAATATATGATAAATTCAAAGGTAAGTCTATCGTATTGCATTGTCTTAAATGAATTCTCAGCTAAAATACGGCAATAAATGGATCATAAACTTAGCTAAATTTACTGTTGACAACGAGGTTGACAGATCCATTGCTTTTTTGCCTTGAATAGCTTTACCATAGTCATTTTACCTTAAAATGTAGCTACCGAGGATATCTCTAAGAGATTTTACACAGATTATTTGCAAAATCTCACGATTTAATCATGCTGATAACATGAAAATCCTTGTGCCATTCTATACATAATTTCTACATAATCTCTACATCAATAGTTCACTAATATAAATTCAATATATTTTTGAACCAGTCCATATATTATTATACACAATGTAGTATAGTTAATTTGACCATATTTGAGAAGTAAGGGTGTATTTCATTACACAGACACTGCTGAATTTTAGGTTACATGCCATTGGATTGATATATAAAAAACACTTGTAAAACACACACATTATCTTGTTGATAGAATAGTTATTTGCAGTATACTAACTGTTGGCATACTCTATTTCAGGGCTATCAATTGTTTTTGTCACTGGCAGTCTTTGAAATACAATCTTGCTCTGTGGCCTTTACTGACAAGTTGGCTTTTACTACATATGTGGCACTGACACTTCTTTAATTAATGCACCAGTCAGTGTAAACCCCCCAACCAGGGAGGGGCAGGGATTTTGACTTGGAGGGGTAGTAAAAAAGCGAAATTGTCCCCGCCCCCAGGGACGTCAATGTCCCCTGCATGTCTCTTAACCCCAGGAAAATAGTTTTGTATAATCATAGAATAGAATAGAATAGAAAAGATCAGCAATAGAAAATCAAATTCATTTATGTTGTTGTATTTAAACTTTTCTTGTCAAGAAAACTAAAACAGCAACACAGGATATATATGTTAACCACTGTCCAAGTCTCCCATCATCGGGACAAATTTATAATCAAAACTGACCACTTTCCCTGTTAAACCTTCCGCCCCTCCCCGGTTGGGGGCAGGGATTTACATTGACTGGTGCATAACTAGATGATTGCATGAAGCATTGCATGGAAGTTGATTTATAATTAGTTTATGAATAAACTCACACTTTCATTATAATGGTTGATCAAATATATCATATGCATTTGATTGGTTGATGGTCCCTTAATGGTAATGGTGGTCAAATCTGAACCTATATAATGTCAATATGATTTGAACCTATATAATGTCAATATACTGGAAAAGTATCAAATTAAATTTTAATTGTCAATGTTGTGGAAAGTAAATAAATCAAACAATTCTGTTTGTTTCAACTAACTAGTTCACTATCACTTTGGTTTTCAAATCAAAGAATCTTTAACCTGGTTGAGCTTTTGAAAAAGTAGCTGATTGATTGAACGCAAGATTATTTTACTCTGTCTAACGCCAGACAATTTCACTCGTCAAGGGGAAAGTGCTGCCACTCAGTGAACTCAATCAGAGCTCAATGAGCAGCAGCACTCTCCCTCGATAAGTAAAATCATCTGGCATTAGATGAAGTGAAATAAACTAGTAAAGTAGGGTGCATTGGGGCACAATGCAGCTCACTGGGTTAACTGGAAAATATATTTATTAAACAATATACACCCTATACTTGTATTTCAATTCACATCATGATTTAGTATGCATATGTCTATTTGACCCAAGTACCTGACAGGAATGATATTTGAATCACACCTGTATTCATTGAACAAAGCTAATTTAAATGTACATTAATTGTACATGAACCATGTAAATGTAAAAACTAGCTAGAGCAAAAACACACCAACACAGCTTTGTTTTTGTATTTTTCTTGAGAAGGAATAACTGAGACTACTGAGTTACAATGAGACCAGTATCAACAATTTCAAAAAGGTATTGTACAAAAATATTACAAACATAAGACACTTTAAAGACAGAAAAAACACAAAGTATGTCACTACAGAAACTGTATTCTGTGATATAGATGATATTGCTTTAAAGAAACTTGCAGCTTTTAGCAGTTGTGTAAGGGCCTGTTTATATCGAAACTGGCTGGCCCACTAAGTGAGACAGCCCGGTAAGTGAGATCTCGCTGTCTAGTTATTTTTATAGTACAAATTATCATTTCTATGGACAAGCGGGCAGGCCCGGTTGCCAAGACCAGGATGGAAATTTCTCCACATAAACAATCATAAGCAGGCTAGCCCGGTTGCCGGGATGAAAGTTAAAAGATACTGCCGCAAGCTATTTTTAACAACTGTCAAAACAACAAAATTACCGGGCTGTCTTGCTAAGCGGGCCAGCCCGGCTTCCATACAAACAGGCCCTAACAGTCTCTGTCAGGCAATTACAATGTTCTAATGTCCAAACTCTAAAGTATTATAAACAAGCAGAACAGACCACTTATTGCAAGTTGCTGGTATTAAGTCATATCAACATGTGATCTCGACAATATACAGTGTATAAACTAAAGTAATTCAGCTTCTACACATGAAGCAACTTTAAACACTATCCTTACACTTTATCAATTCATTGAAGTTTGTACTTAAAAGACATTTTATTTGTAGTATTATAAAATCATAAGACATATTCTATTTGTAGTATCAAGTCACATCAGGATCAGTTTATAATCTAGCGTCTTTGGACCCAAGGGATCTAGAGTTCTATCTTGTTAAAACCTATCCAAGGAAAAACAAGAAAGGGATATTGAAGTAATGGTGTTTTTGAGCCAAATAAATTCGAATATCCACAAGTATAAAAGCAGAACTCCGTATATACCGGAGACAAAATGGCATCATAGCGAACACATTTTAATGATGCTCAAATTTATATTCAGTGCGCTATATTTTTAAAAATATGACTCTGTTTGCTTTCTAAATACAACAAAATTACTGCTTTACCTTCTGTTCAAATAGTTCCACAGATAAATCGAAGTCACAATTCGTACTACTTGAAAAAAAAGCTGTTTTTACTGTAGAAATGACAACTTCCCAATATAATTTTCTATATTGTCAACACTGCATTACACTTGTTTAGCTCGCGCATGCGCAGTATAAAATATGGGACATGTTTCCGCTTGAGTAAGACTTCTGGTCCTATTATCTATTCTGTGGTAGCGCCGTAGCGATTTAAATATACAAGGCGAGATTCATTACGTAGTATATGACGTCATTCCCAATGATCGCAGAATAATACTGGATTTATATAGCAAGTCTTATTTCTCATTTCTGCCATTTTTGAAGGGCTTGAAGCCAGCTGAACATTTAAAAGATTTAACATTGGATTTTAATATATCAATACTATTAATGGCAACACTTATGGAAATTTTATTTAGCTTTATTGTTTTTAATTGTTCTCTTTATAAAAGAGGACGAATAATAGTTCAGATTTGGTGTACTTATAAAGGATAAGACTGCAAGTTACCGACCGCCCAGGAACCAATCAAAATGCTGCATTTTGCAGGTGGACCCCCCTTGCCATATAATAATACACGTTACTAAACATTTCTTATAACCAACTGAGAGAGTAGCCTCATCAGTGATAATTCTACGGTAGTACCAATGTTATAGATTCTCAACCCCATATGAGATATTTAAATCAAATCTATCATTGCGTTATAAAATAGTAGAATCTCGCTCAATTTGAAGGGAACTCCAAACAAAACTCGTTTAATATGCACAAAAGCGTTCAGAGTATTAAATACAGTACCAAACTTGTGGAAATTTAGCCTTATTCGTTTAAATTGTTCTCTTTATAATAGAGGTCCAGTAATAGTTCAAATAGCCGTCTGCGTATTGCGGCATGAACTTTCTAGGTTCCAGAAGGTTCTGAGATATTTTCATGCAAATGTATAAATCAGGAAGAGGACCTATGCTAATATGGCATTGTTTATTTATTGGAATCGTTTTGTGAGTAAAACGTGGTAATATCCATTCAATCATGCATGTGATATTGGCTTTTCTGCATACTTGAAAGGAAATTTTAATGACATCGAAAAAACAAGTTAATAAAATAAATGATTATTTTAGGCAACTTTTTGCGGTGAAACCAGTAAACGTATGTGATATTTTCTATTGTATAATAGCGAGCAATTTGTTTGTTCCGCTTGAGGCTGTATCGAAAAAGAAATCCTTTTGTTCACAAAGTGAAAGCTTGAAAATTGAAAAGCAATCATGCATCCTTTAATGCACACAGGAAATACACACTAAGTTTCATGAGATTAGTTGTATTAAATGTTAACAGATTTAATTGGTTACAGTACTCGTACGATACGCGATAACCTAATATCTAAACCTGTTGCACATGCATTGTTTGAAAACTACTACTGACACAATCAATGTTAAATATATTTTGGAATGGCTATACTTAACCTATAGTATAGTTCTACTTTGTTACTATTTTTACTGTTTTGTTACTGTTTTCTTACGAATTTCTTCTTCATAGAGTTGATCGATTCGTCTTTGAAAAAGTCGGTATAAAGTGTAACCAAAGTTCTGCCATACTTGCCGAATTTTCCAAACACAGCATACACAAGATTTTTGCTTTTGTCTAGCTCCTTCTGCAGCTGTTCTTTTGTCCATATTTCTTCAGGATCTAAGAATTCATCAGCATCGGGATCTCCTCCCATAACCAGATGGGCCAGATAGTCGCGTGCAAGCTGGCCATTCGGTTTCTCCTTAAGCTCTGGGGCCGGTTGTATAAAAACGTAGTTAGCGTTAATCACTGTAGTTAAATCCTTAACTGTAATTAGTTAACTACATGACTTAACTGCGTTGCACAAAACGTAGTTAGTCGGATAGTTAACTAATCACGTAGTTAACTGTGCGTGGGGCTTGCGTGGGGCGTTTAAACACAAAATTACATAAAGTAAGCAGCGAGTAACGACCGCTGACACACATTTTCAACATGGTTGTGGACTCGTATTTTGTAAATAGGCGGGAATTTTATTCAAAACACGAGAAAACAGTGAAAAATATACAAGAAAACAAGGAAAAAACCGCCACAAAAATCATAAAAGAATGCAGTTTTTCCTGGAGATGCCAAGGTATAGCTGTTTGGCAATTATATATCAGTGTTTCTTGGTGTAATGGACCATACGTCGTCTTCGAGAAATCGTCCTGTGCAAAAATATGTTCTGTTTTCGTAAAAACACCAAAGCGATAGCGTTTGAAGAGTTTATATTGTCAGGAAACATTCACAGGGAAGATAGCGATTGAAAATCTCAGGTAACCGTTGCTTTTCATTGTTGTTTTATTGAAAAATGTTGTTCACTCCTATACAAACGCCATTTTTAACTACGTTTTGGACAGTTAACTATACCCTAAAGCATAGTTAACTTTAACTACTTTTTAACTGCAGTTAAAGGCACAGTTCAGCCTGTTGAACGATGGTTTTTAAGGCGCATTTCAGCCCTTTTAATTGAAAAAACTAACTAGGAAAATCAATTAAGCATAATTCAAGATCACCAAACTTAATGTTTTTAACATTTTAAAACCTTTTTATTGTTAAAAACATCGAGTTTACTGATTTTGAATTATGCTTAATTGATTTTCCTAGTTAGTTTTTTCAATTAAAAGGGCTGAAATGCGCCTTAAAAACCATCGTTCAACAGGCTGAACTGTGCCTTTAAGGCTAACTACACTTTTATACAACCGGCTTAACTACGTGATTAAAGTTAACCACTTTTTAACTACTTTTTAACTACAGTTAGTGCTAACTACGTTTTTATACAACCGGCCCCAGGTGCATCGAAGTTCAGCAAACGACAGATGAATCGCCGCTTTTTGCCGTCAAGTTTAAACACCACGTCGCACGTGTCTCCATCATGTACCGAGACAACCTTGACTTCTCCTTCTTTTCCATCAAGGGTAAAACGTTCGATATCTTCGCTTGTTATGTTCTTTAAACTCTTTCTTGTGGCCATGTCACTTATTAAATTTGCTATCCTTCTTGCGTGATGTGCTGTAGGCTCGCAGCGAATGACGATTCAACTATTTCGCCGGCTTTGGCGCGAGCACATGTGGCCGGCAAAACAACGCACGTAGTGTATGACGTCATTTCCGATGATCGCAGAATTATACTTCATAGAGCGAGCTATTGCTCATTGTTCCTATTATTTTAAAGCACCAAAAGCATTTTTTGTACCATATACGTTTATCAGTTTAAAGCAAGCATACATGCGGTTATCCGTAAACTTAAAGTGTGCGTTCAAATCTTACCAATTCTTTAAATCTCACAAAATCATCAGATCAAATAAAGGATAAGAACTCACCACGAATCTCCGTGGGCATGAATGCATGATAGCTTATCAGGTAGAACATGAGATTAGATTTACGAAGGTTGAGAATTGTTATTAATCATAGAAATTTGATATCAAATACGAACTATAAGATTGTTGTTTATAAGGGCGTTTTTTATTATTTCTTGGAATCGTCAAGCGTTACATGGAATTTTCTATATAGGTTTTGTATTTCAAAGGAAATTTTAACTGTAGCGAAAGCGAAAGTTAACAAACTATATAATGTTCCATTTCGAAACTTGACGATACTCTAATGTAAAACAGTGCTATGTGGTTTGCCGTTTTAAGAGCTGTAGGTATTAAAGATATATATGGTATAATTTGAGTTGCTTTCTGACCTTTGTCGACGAAATCGAAAGCTTACTATACTAATGCAAACAATCCTTCAATGTACACGGAAAATCATCCGTTATTGCACACAGAAAATACACACTAAGTTTCGTGAGACAGTTCTATTAAATGTTAAGAGATTTTATTGCTTACAATACTCATATGACACGCGATGACCTAATATCTATAAACCTGTTGTACATGCATTGTTTTAAGACATACTGACACAATGTTCAATACCTCATTGGTTCGTCGAAAGTACATTTGAAATGACTATGCGTAAGCCTATATATAGTATATGTTAGCATTCTTTTAGTCATTAAGATTATTTCATCGTTTCTTCAGTTTTTGTACGAATTTCTTCATCATAGCATTGATCGATTTGTTCTTAGAAGAGTCGGTATAAAGTGTAACCAAAGCACGACCAAACGAGTCGAACTTTCCAAATACAGCATACACCAGATTTTTGCTTTTGTCTAGCTTCTCCTGCAGCTGTTCCTTTGTCCATATTCCTTCTGGATCAAAGAAACCATCAGCATCAGGATCTTCTCCCATAACAAGATGAGCCAGATAGTCGCGTGCTAGCTGACCATTAATCGGTTTCTTCTTAAGCTCGGACGCATTGTAGTTCAGCAAACGACAGACGAATCGCTCCTTTCTGCCGCGTAGTTCAAACACCACGTCGCACGTATCTCCATCATGTACCGAGACAACCTTGACTTCTCCTTCTTTTCCATCAAGGGTAAAACGGTCGGGGATATCCTCGCTTTTTACATTCTTTAAACTCTTTCTTGTAGCCATGACACTTAAATACTAAATTTGCTACTCAAGCGGTTTGGTGTCTTTTTGAAATGATGAGTCGTAACGAATGACGATTCAAATTTCGCCGACTTTTTATCAGCGCTTTTTCACATGAGAAGACTGGGACCTAGGCGAATGGGGGCGGGGCAGAGGAAGGGCAAAAGAACCTGGTTGATATATTTTCTCGCTTTGATGTGTAGGTTTATGCAGAGCTGGAAGAAATTGAGGCGGACAAGGCTCCTGCGAGGTGCGTATATAATAGAATTATTTAATGATGTAAAATGAGAAAGCAAGAAAAATATGTATTACCCCTGCATATCCATCGCTGATTAAAACTAGACAAAAGATAGTTGTGTTTCTTTTTCTTCAGGGCGTCAGTGATTTTAGCTGGTCTTGGTTTTTCACCAAAAATGCAAGGACAACCTACACGGTTTGTATTGGTAAATTGTATACGTGAGAATTGCAGAGGCGTAGCCAGGGCTGGGGCCGGGGCCCCTGCCCCCCCTGGCAAACTTTGCCCCCCCCCCCCTGATAAAATGTATTGTATAAAAAAGGGAATCCTTGATTATATAGCTTTATGCTGTCAATAATGCAAAAATTTTGTAGAATATATGCTTCGCTGCGCATCAGTGTGAAACCTAAAATCTTGTTCGCTTATTTGCGGCACACTGCTTGAAACACATACCTTTTCTAACCCTAATTATTTCAATATGTATTAAATGTGGGTTAGATGAAGTTTAAACCAATCTGTTTTTTACCAGTGAATTTTTAACGCGGGCTCAGTGAAAAATCACATAATTTTACCCAGCACTGCACAGAATGCCTTGCGCGAACTTTGCGTCTCGAGTCACTGGCGGCTTTGACCCACCTGGGTTTTTGCTGCCCCCCCCCCCCCAAAAAAAAA